AAGAGCGTATAGGTGTGTTTTTATTTGAGGGCCATTCCCGCAAGTGGCGTTGCAGGTGTCCATGGGCGGCAGCTAGCAGTTTATTCAAAGTGCCTCAATTGCCTCCTGTCTATATAAAAAAAATCATACATTTTTTTATTATCTGCTTTAACTGTGTGCGTTTTAAATAACATACTGCAAATTAAATAATAACAAACTAACACAAATAACAAATAATAAACACACACAGTCAGATTAAAATAATTTTGGTCTTAAAAGTCTTATCATATATAAAATTCGTTAGGTATCAAGGCGAATTATAAAGTGTAGGTATATATTGAAATATTAAAATATCATATTAATATAAAAAACTAATGGTTAGAAAGTTTTTTTCCATTAGGAATCAATATTTAAAATGAGAAACATGTCCAAATCACAGCAAAACAATAAAAATGCAATTGTAAAGAAATACTTAAGCGTGAGAAAATGAATAATACTGTATTACTTAGATATAGCGTACACACGTACATGCAATATACGTCAAGGTAATTTGCAATAGACGCTAGAATCTAGTTAGAATATAAAAACTACATCGGTTCGCAATCGGAGATTCTGAATTCTTAGTCGAATACAAGTTAGTAACACTAAGTAAAAAAGGTAACTTTTCGCACAATAATAAAAACATTTTCTAATAGTCAAGCTTTAGATTAAATTGCTTGAATTTGATCAATAGGTTTTGACTATTAGTGCGATGGCACTAGTTACTGACCAAATATAACATATATATGACTAAGTGCGAGTGTCCATGGGCGGCGGTATCACTTAACATCAGATGAGCCTCCTGGCCATGTGCCTCTTGTGACATAAATTTAAAAAAAAAACGCCAGTATAGATCAATAAACAGGTTTTAATTATGTAAATTAAGAGAAATTCATTAAAAAATATAGGGGGAATATATTAGTAAATCTAGTAGCGTTACCGACAACGATCCTGCCACCGTCGCTATTGGATGCTGCAGAGTAATTATCTGGACTCAACCGCTTCCGCCCATCTATGTGTAGGGTATACAAGAAGGTCAGCTGAGTGACCTCGACGAAAGCCGTACTGATAATCGCTAATCAGCTGGTGGCTGGAGCTTTAGATACCTCAGGAGCTGGCCGTTAATAATGAGTTCCATTATTTTGGAGAACAAGGAGGTTATAGCTATTGGACGATAGTTGGACAGATCAGACCGATCGCCTTTTATAAGAATTGGATGTATTGAAGAGGTCTTAAAGCACTTCGGGACAGTGCCGAGCGAGTTCAGGTACCGGAGCCAACTCAGGAGCACAAGTACGCAGTACAATTGGGGGGTGCCATATAGTCAGTAATTTGAAAAATTAATCAAAATATTCTCTTTGGTTTACGTACGAATAGCAAAATTAAAAAATTGCTAATAATTATCGTTATAATAAGATACCAATAACTAATGAATTAATCTACCAACTCTTATCGCAGCGAGTGCAGTAATTGTAAACGCAGGCACGTTTTACTATTGTTTCGTTTCGCTTGACACCTGCAGGACGAGCTATGTATTTATATTATATATTTGACCGACTGCGAACTATTTACATAGCCACTTCCGCCTCTCCAACGTTCTTTGCAGTGGTTTATGTAATGCGAGAAGCTCACTGTTTCTGGATAAACCACTTTATTGAAGGCAGCAAGAGCGTCTTAAAGGTGCAGGATAAATATGGATCAGGAAAAAATTAAAGAAACCTGATACAAATATTAAGAGTACTTTTGTTTGAAACATGATACGGTCTTAGTATGGAGATGGAAGGAACATGATGGATTATGAGTCTTATTATACTGGCCTTATCTATTGTCAATAGACAATATATTTTTAATAAGCTAGTACTATGATATTTGCACAAAGATTTTTTTCTAAAAACTACACTTTCATGTTTTCTATAGCCAAATTACGTAAAGTCGTGTTATAACTTGTATTTGTAATTTAGTTTGATGCGTTTACAATTGAAATCAATGAACTCAAAAGTCAGTAAAAGGCCATAGTTATAAATAATAACCAAAAACCATTTATAACAAATTCATAATAATTTTTTGGTAACTTTTTGTTACTGATACAGGACACTCAAGAATTAAGACACATTGAAATATAGAACTTCACAACAGTGTAATTTGTTATTATTACGCCATTTGTTAAATGTTAATTATTTAATAGTGTTTAAGATTACAATTTTACTAATCATCCAATTATGCGCCGCTAATAAGGGGAGACGGGTAATAGCTTGACGTGTCGCCGGCCTAGACTTAAGACTGCATTAGATGGTCTAATTAATGAATTAATCAATTTATGATGCAGGTGATAATGAATCATTAAACTTATTAGTGTATTATAATTAATTACGTAACAGTACTTAGGTAGATTAAATATTTCATCTAAATCTCTATTCATGTTCTGCGACTTTGCGAGTCCGATTACGAGAATGTTAGAATTAATAACAATAATAATTATATGTATAAGAAACATACTTTTTTATAGACTTTATTTATGTAATAGGTGGCAAACGGGCAGGAGGCTCATCTGATGTTAAGTGATACCGCCCATGGACACTCACATTGCCAGAAGGCTCGCAAGTGTGTTGCCGGCCTTTCAATTGGTGGGATGCCATATAGTCAGCAATTTGAAATCAGTTTCTAAGCTTAATTTTTTTAAAAGAAACGAACTACGTTCAACGTTTGTTGGAATTTTTTCAGTTTGTTTATTGTCTATTTTATGTATTTCAGTGAGATTAGAACTTGACCAGACTTGCCTTAAAAACAATTAATGTAATGAAACAAAATCCGCCCAATGCTTCATGGGGTTTCAAACGACGTGCTTATCCGCTATGTACTGTATAAAGTATAAAATAAAATACTTGGACAGGTGTTGTGTAAAGTCAGCAGTGAATCAGAGGCTTAATCACCGACTCGATATAACAATCGCTGCCCGCCGCAGTACGTGCTGACATCAACAAGGATCTTATCCACTAGATACGGTATCTTCATAATTTCTGTCCTGGCTAATACAGACAAGTCACTAGGCACATAACGAAATTGTGAAAAGTTGTAGGTACTCAACGCATTTACGCACGCTCTACGTTCTAAAACGACTAAATCATGTCAAAACTGAAATGTCTGATAAGATGTCAACTTAATGTAGTCTGTCAGTGACTATAATAGGATTAAAACCTCGAACCTTACTTAGAGTAAAATATATTATGGTGATTATATTTGTAAAATAAGTTTTACTTAAATACGAAGGGTGTTCAATATGTAGTTATGATGCGATACAGTCCGTTTTTTCTGGGATAGCTAAGGGGTGGTAACGATCGAATACCTTCATGATACCACTATTACGGGGACTGGATACGCAGGATAAATAACAAAGTTGCGCGAGGAAACACGCAAGGTACGGCATGGCTCGCTAAAGTTATTTTATTGTACAAAGATCGCGCCCATGTGCACAAGCCCAGAGTTGCAATAGCTACCATTTAAGAAGCTTTGAATCGATAGAACATCGTCCATATTCACAGGCCTAGGCTAATCTCCACGGATAAAGGAACATCTCAGAAGCCATATACTCCTTTTAGGATGATACAAAGTGTATCATTGTAAAGACAATGGTCTACACATCTTTCAGTCATTACTTAACATATTGTAATCTGTAGTTCTGTTACACTGTCAAATAAAGCACTGTAAAAGCTGAAGTTACTAAATCCCCCAAGGCAAAAGCTTTAGTCAAAAGCGTATCGTTTATATAAAATCGCATTAATAGAGGTTCGCCTCATCCATTTTCCTTAATTCTCCACCTTACTTGAATCATATCGGCGCACGTGACCATTTTACACAACTAACTTCACCACTTACCAGTAGCCGCTACGTCAGACAATTGCTAGTTAACTGTCTAACTCACTACATTTACCAACGAAAAATATAAAACACATTCTTAATGCTGTACTACTTGATATTATTGCATTTCTTTTAACAACAAATATTGTTAAAAGGCCTAGCATTTGAGAGCTTTCTGGTATTATGCGTCCATGGCTTGGCACTTATCTTCTATTTTTGAAAAGAAAATCACAAGTGATGATTTCTTTAAAGGTTGAACATATTGTTTTGCAGGATATTACCGCGGTGGGCATTTCAATGTATCGGATGTAGAGGAAAAATAACAAAAGACGGAAATTACTTCTTAATAGTAGACGTGACTTGACAAGGTGTATTCGTTATATTGAATCCAACATGTTTATGTATTAACTTCGAATAATACATATATAAAATCAAATACGTATTTTTTATATAAGGGCATTTACTTATCAGAATTACTTTTTAAAACTTACTTACTAAAACTTGTAGGTAAATATGTGATCTGAATTTTATTGTAGTTTGAATTCATGTGGAATGACTTAAAGTAATAATATCTACAGACAATTTTAACGTGTTAATGTTATGGGCCCTACCATTTATCTTATCATTATAAATGCTACCTACTACACTACTGATATACTCTTATAGTATTCAAAATGTATTATGTATTTACAGAAATATATACATTATCCTTACAGACCATGCCAATACGATAATTTCGAGAAAAAATAAAATATATTAAAGTAAATATTATATAGTTAAACACATAATATACACAATATCGCTACCGTGAATTGACTCTGCGAACATATCAATATGTCGATAGTGTCGGAGACAGCAATATCAGATTTAATACAATTTTGTTAAAGAAATAATTATTTAACATCATTTTTGTCTAATGTAAGAAAAATATTTCAAGTTCCTCTGAGGAAAAATAATTACATGTATTTAAATATATTTATTTATAAATTTATTCGTATTGTCGCAGACTATATTATTCCATAACAATAGCTTATCAATCAGATTAGCGTTATTATCAATTACCTAAATACTATCAATGATAACATTCTATTTAATGTTAGTTGTGTAGTTTTTACTCGTGTTTAATTATGTGTAAGTTATATTTTATGTATTATAAATATTACCTATATTGTCCTATCTGACTTAACCTTCGAAGGAATAATAATCATCGCATACTACGTCGTAAAAGAATCAGGGTCCCCAAAAAAGAAAAAGTTTACTATAATGTGTGATAGCTGAATCAAATCGAACCATTTCGAGTCTTCTTACTTGACCACAATCTCATATACGAGTATATGTTTTCAGGGCTGTTGCTGTTCCTCCTGTCACCGGCTCTGGGGCTGCACATGAAGGAGCCTCCACTTCCAGAATCAGCCTCACGTAATGAAGTACCAGAGCGATGGCTTGATGTCAAACTCAACCACTTTGACGCCTCCAACACTGATAAGTTTCCAATGGTATGTTTTTGTTTTTCTATCTTTTGGCTATTTGAGATATCTCTAGAATTCGAATTCCGCTGTGATTGTTTTTGTCACATATTTATATAAAAGTCTTAGCGGAATCCAACGTTAATCATAAATCCAGTTTTATGGGCCGTCATAAAATGTTTCTTTATGAAATTTGTCAAATTTATCCAGACGTGATTTCGACTACAATTCGAGATGTATAATTTTTAGATTAATCTTTCAGCGTTACTACTACAACGGTATAAATACTGCAGCAACTAATAGCAACATAGTAATATATGTAGGGGGAGAATGGGAGATCAGTCCTGGATGGGTTTCATCGGGATTGCCCTATGAGATTGCGTCTTTAACAGGCAGTGGATTGTTCTATACTGAACATCGTTATTATGGGCTGACTAGACCCTTCAGGTAATATGCGAGTTATGTACCCGTACAATTTATTATTTATTAGATACATATTGAAAAACATAAAGTACAACTAAAACAATGCAAGTCCAGGTTAAAAGTGATAACTATTTGTTTTTAGTAGAATACACAGAATTAATAGTCATAATAATGTAAATTAAATTCTAATTTCCTTATCGTTGAATGCCATTGATTTACTTTATACTATATACTATCATGAGTATGTAAATAACGTCAATATTATAATCACAGCGATGCCGCACTTGTTCCTACTATGCAAATGAATGCAGCAGGAATCGAACCGTGTAACGCCCTCGTCTAGAATACGATTGCGAGGCTGCCATGTACACTGTAGACTGTATACTAACTTAAATAAAACGCGTCTTTTATTTCTATTAACCCACAAGCATTCATTTGAATCTATATTTACTTACTTGTAGTAAATTGTCAAAGTATTACAGCCACTGAATTACAAAAAGGAAGTACTAAGCCAAAATCATTTGTGTCAATTAATTAAATTGTTTCTTTAATATGTTTTGTAATTTAGTTTAACAATTCTTCTTTTTTTATTTGATTGTTTGTTTTTGTTACCAGTTTTTGTATTATATTTGATTTAGCTTTTCGTGTCTATATTTTTTAGCGACCATTATTGATTGAACTGGTTCAGAGGTGTGTGCAAATGTGTCGATGAGCAATACTCTTACAATACTGTGGTAGTGTCCGAAATAGATCTTAATTCTTATGGTGCATTTATACAGACACACTCTTGTGCACTAAAATACCTCCTACACGCCTAGTCTTAATAGAGATATGTTACCGCGACAGAATCAGCGGAGAATATTATTGTCGTTAAGATAACAGAGATATTCGACTTGTGTACCTGTCAACCTCTTTCGATTAAGGTTAACGACTTCATGACTCAAATAAATATCATATGAATGTATCACTATATGTATTAGTCATATGAATTAATTGTACTTATATGTGACGGATGTTTTGTTTGTAATTAGCATTTATGCGATAAATTTTAGTTTAAGCTTGGACTATACTTACAATGAATCACAGACACTAGATGATGTCTCTTTATCTTCAGAGTCTATAGTCCATTCATTTATCTTTTTAGAACAAGTCAACATTCATTACCATGCGAATTAATATCATTTTAAATCCATAACAACTTCTCTTACTAGTTTTTTTCTGTTATCAGACTCCTGTTATTACTCCGCGTTGAATTGTATTTATCTTCTTAAACCTGATGAACACCTACAGCCCTGCGATTCTGTAACTCACTTTTCGAACTCACACAGCGGAATCGCAAGGCAGGTCTCAAATACAGCTGGTATTTGAGCTATTAATAATGGGCTTCGTTTTGACATATTGGACGACGTGTTTGATCCTTGGGGCATGGGGACATAATTATTGATTAGCCGAAAAGTGAATGTATGGACTCTACATTACACGCTCTACGCGTCATTTCATGTGAAAGGTTCTATTTTAAGCCTCGCATAATATGATCATGACAGATAAGATTGCCCTTGAATTCCTTTCATTAATTCGATGTTTCGGTGTAAGGACATTCCCATCGGAACACTACGAGCTATAAACGTTAATTAGTCGGTGCGGATTCCAAATCACGACCTAACACCGTCCCCGCGGAGCTCTATTGGTTATCGGTGTTACATGATAACTGCCTATAACCAGTTATGGCTGTGATTACAATAGACAAAATCAGTAGTAAGCTTCGTCCCTCGACGGTATTATCCTGTCAGAGGTTAACCGCAAGCTTGAAGTTAATTTTTAATAACCGCGCTTGTGCTGTTAATAAAACCCCGGTACGCTTTTCCATATTGAAGACCGACATTATAAAAATAAGTCCTGATTATTATGTACTGAATAAGTACTGATACGTATTGCATCTACTCAAATCAATCGCAGGAAATCCCCAGGCTTGTTCAAACCTCAAGGTTTTAAGTATTCGTCATAATAAATATATGTTAACAAAACTTTGTTATTGCTAGCGCGAGGTATGTTTCCTGGCAATATTTTCTTCACGCGTGAGTAAGTTCCACCCTCAGTGCCTTACTTGTAAGACCAGGCTTCATTTTATGATTTGGCATTCTGATAAACAATAAACTGCAAGCTCCCACCTTTTCAGAATGCCAAATCATAAAATAACTGCTTCACGACTGATTTGAGAGCGACCGCCGATGCGAAAACCGCTGTGTGAGTTCGAAAAGTGAGTTACAGAATCGCAGGGCTGTGCTGATATGACCCGATGCCTACACTAAAGCGCATGCTAAATAAAATTTTACTACTTCACGCATTTCAGTCATTTGAAAATCGAATCTGCCTTTTGCAAGAATTTAAAATTTCGGACATGTCAGAATTTCCGGTCATATTTTATTAAAATCCGTCAAAAATTTTATTTGTGTGTGATGAGAAATGAGTACCATTTGTCATTGGTAAAACCCTAAGTATTTTTCTATACTTTTAACGATTAATATAATGACAATGAGTAAACCGCTATTTGGAACAATTACTTATCAGTTCTTATTTAGAATTCTTTAATTTTAGTTAGATCACATAAGGATTTTGCATGATTGCTATAAATATAATTAACTTTGGTATTGACTGCAGGGATAGCCTGTAGAATATGAGCGTGTATGTATGTTGGTAGTCGCACGTGCCAGACAGAATGGCTTGTTCATTCTTTAGGGAATGACTGGGCCAGTAAATGAAACTCTTTAGACTTCTTGTACAAACTTGTTTAATTTCATTATAATATGACCTTTCGCTAGTCAAGTACAAAGAGAAGTGATGGCGCACGTCGCCCCACCTTACAATTATTATAATGCAAAAAATGCGCCTGATGTATACATTGCGCAATGTCGCAACATACTCCCGGCCGTTGAAACTCTTTCAACATTCATCTAATCTTCTTGTACCGGCAACTTGCACAGCCGGACCAACGAACGTGTAATGCAGCCGCTGCTGGTTTTAATCTCTGCCACTCTGGCCACTCCATCTAAGCCATTTATCAGCCGCTGCACTCGACCCAACTTCCAGCAGAGAGGGGCAGTATTGTCCTCGGCTATCAGCACTAGGTCCCCAATATTAAGATTGGCAGAGTTCTCTCTCCATTCAGTGCGCTGTTGCAATTCCACCACGTACTCCTTTTGCCATCGTCTCCAAAAGTGCTGTCTTAATTGCTCAATTCTCTGGTACCTTTGTAAGTGACTAAATTTGAATTCACCAAGACCTTTAGAAGGCAGTGAAGTTAATGGTCGTCCAATAAGAAAGTGTCCAGGGGAAAGGGTAAGAAGGTCATCGGGAGAAGATGACAAGGGACACAAGGGACGGCTGTTTAGGATTGCTTCTACTTGTGCAAATAAAGTTGATATTTCCTCAAAAGTAAGATGACAGTTTCCCATAACACGCCGTATATGGTGCTTAGCAGATTTTACCCCACTTTCCCAAATACCACCGAAATGAGGAGTATATGCCGGAATGAAATTAAATTTAATTGATTGTTGACTTGCAAAATCAAACAGAGAATCATTATTTTGTTTGATAAATGAACCTAATTCTCGCGCTGCAGCTACAAAATTGGTACCGTTATCAGAAAATATTTCCGTTGGTCGTCCTCGACGAGCAATGAAACGGCGAAGTGCCATTATATATGCTTCTTTAGTTAAGTCACTAACAGCTTCTAAATGTATACATTTGAAACGCAAGCAAACAAATATACACAAATAACATTTAATTAAGCGGCTTCCTCGTCCTTTGCGATTCAAGATAAGAAATGGACCTGCGTAGTCAACTCCTACTGCTAAAAAAGGGTAATCTGGGGCAATCCGCTGTTCTGGAAGATTTCCCATTTTAGGTTGAAGAGTTTGCCCACGCATACGCCTGCAAATAACGCATCTATTAACTACCCGTTGAGCAAGACGACGCCCGTTAACTGGCCAGACAACCTCTCTCACAGCTGCAAGTAGCAATAAAGGACCAGCATGCATATGCTTTAAATGCTCTCGCTCAAAATACAATTGAGTAAGGCGGTTGGTACTATGTAATATGATTGGATGCTTTCTTTCATAAGAGTAATAATTTGATGCATCTAAACGCCCGCCAACTCGTATTATATTTTCATCAAGAAATGGAGATAAAGATAAAATTTTGCTTTTGCTATTCAACTGTTTACCCTTGATTAATAAATCATATTCAATTGGAAATGATTGTTTTTGGGCACACTCATATAACTTGTTCATGGCGTTACTCAATTCGCTAGTTGATAGTGCACCTAGGCGTTTATTAGTTTTATTTTTTATATTAAATATGAATCGAAGCACATATGAAACTGTTCTTTGTAATCGAGTCAGTGAGGAATACCTATTAAAATCAATAAATGATTCATTTATTACAGCCGAATTAACCCTAATTTCAGGTAAACTATTTAAATCAAAAGATTTTAAAACAGGCCATTTAGCCTCGTCTTCATGCAAAAAACTAGGGCCTAACCACCACAAGTTCATATTCAAAATATTCTTAGCTTGAATTCCCCTAGATATAAGATCAGCAGGATTAAATTCCGATGGCACGTATCGCCATGCTGAAGAAGAAGTTATTTCTTTTATTTCACTAATGCGGTTGGCTACAAAGGTTTTCAATCTACCTATATCCCCTTTTATCCAGCATAATACAACACTGGAATCGCACCAATGTACTATCCGCGTAGGTGTAAACCTAATTGACTCTAACACCGATTTTGTAAGTTTTCCGGCAAGTTGCGCCGCACATAATTCTAGCCTTGGGATAGTAGTAGGCTTTAGAGGAGCTACCTTTGATTTACTGCATAATAATCTAACAGTGACGAGATTGTTGCTGCTAATTGTTCTCACATAAATACTTGCACCATAAGCAATTTGCGATGCGTCACTAAAAGAATGTAATTCTATGAACAGAGGTAAATTCCCCAATACTAATCTCGGAATATTCAATTGTTTTAAATACTTTAAATTATCTACAAAATTTATCCATTCAGCTTTTATCTTCTGACTAACAGGCTCATCCCAGCCAATCTTTTGTTGCCATAGACGTTGCAACATTATCTTAGGAATAATAATAACTGGACTTAATACTCCTAACGGGTCAAATATTTTAAAAGCATTCGACATATTAAATCGTTTTGTGATTGGTTGTCCAGTTATATATATACTTTCTTTTACTGGTATATGAAAAGTGTCAGTAGAAGGAGTCCAACCTAAACCCAAAGTACTGGAGGATTCACTCAATATTAAATTATCTTGTTTGTTTATTTCAAATTTTGTAAAAATTGACGGAAAATTAGTTTTATATTTTCGTAAATTAAAACATCCTGACTTTAAAGCACATGATACAGCCCTTTGTATATAAATCAATGTTTCTGGATCATCAGCTCCAGTCAACAAATCATCTACAAGAAAATCCCTTTGGATGATGACCTTTATGAGTTCATCGTCTTGCTCTTGGCCTATTTGCCATAAGCATCGTGTACTAAGATAGCTTGCACATGCTGTTCCATATGTCAGGGTATTTAAAGCTAATGTTTGTATAGGCTGATATTCATTCGGCCTCCAAAGTATCAGCTGAAAATTTTTGTCACCTTCTTTAACATTTACTTGCCTGTACATTTTTTCTATATCAGCCGTAAGTAAGTACGAATAACCAGTTGTAGTGGCTGCTGATCCGTCAAACACTACTCGCAACTTAGTAGACTCACTATCTGACCTGATCACTGCATGATGGCATAAATAATAATGTGAACCTTCATCAAATATCTTACCCTGACATAAAACTGATAGATGCCCTAATTCTTTATATTCATCAATGAATTTGGAATAGTCTATCTTTAATTGAGAATCACGCCTAAATCTTTTTTCTAAATTAAAAAATCGTTTTTTAGCTAAACCATAACTATTTCCTAAACAAGTTATAGCCCTTTTAAAAGGTAATTTTACATTGAACCTACCATCACTATCTCTAGTAGTGTTTTCTAAAAAATGCTGTTCACTTTCCTTATCATCGTAACTTTTCCTACATACTGAGTTATAGGGAAAGTCCTCTACCTCCCAAAACTTTATCAACAAATTATCCAATTTATTCTTTTGAGATGGTACTAAACATTGATTGCACTGTATGGCTCTGCTAGTCCTTGCTGAATAAATAGGACCACATATTAACCAACCTAAATGGGAATTTCTTAACTTTGGACCACAGTTGCCTAGCGAATATTGCCCATCGCTTATTATATCCCAGAATAAGTCTGCACCTATCAAGACGTCTACTGGAGCAGGTTGGTCAAACCTTGGATCAGCCAACTGCATGTTCCTAGGCAACTTAAATGTTATTTCTATTGGGCCTTTAGGTAATTGCCCTGTTAATTCTTTTAAAACGTAGCAAGACAACATTGAACTGTAATTACTGTTTAATGAATTTATTTGAATATTACAAGTTTCAGTAACACTACTTGAACAGTTGCCAATGCCGATGACCTTTAGAGTGTCAACTTGATTAGGCTTTAATGACAATCTGTTCTGTAAAGATTTCGTTATAAAAGAAGCTTGACTTCCACAATCTAGAAGCGCGCGAACCTTGATCTTTTGCTGACCAAGTGGATCCGACACCTCAATAAAAGCAGTAGACAACAGTACGTGACATGTGTCTTCGTTAGCATAATTCACAAAAATATTTGTTTGATCGCTGTCTCTAGAATTAGAGCCTAATATGTAGATGGGTTGGATGAGCAATGCAGCATACTGTTGTGCTTTTCCGTACATCTAGCCACGCGACAAGGTCCCATACGACAATCATTTACGGAATGACCTTGCCTTAGACAAATCTGGCATAGTTTATATTTCACTACGTCTTGCATTCGCTCATCTAAACCTTTGTCCTTGAAGGTAGGACAATCATATATTTTATGATTCTTATCACAAATTATACATGAGAATTTTGTATTTAATTGTTTATTTTTATTATTTTTATAACTTAGAAATGTTTTTATTTGATTTCCTTGTCCCTGTCCTTGTTTTAGAAATTGATTACTAGTGTTATAATTATTATTATAGGTAGAACGCACTTGAACATGAGGTTTAGAAACATTGATATCTGACTTGTTATTTCGATTTAAAGATTCTAATATATCAGCACGATCTATTAAAAATTTATAAAATTGTTCCAGATTGGGTACATCACCATCTAAGCTACTGCGAACCTCTTCCCATTTCAATAAAGTGTTGTTATCCAATTTTGAAGATAACATAAACACTATTAATGTATCCCATGTATGCGTAGGTTGCCCTAAACTTGCCAAGGCACGCAAATCCTTTGTTACTTGATCTACCAGAAATCGCAAAGCACGCTCTGATTCTCGAGGAAGCTGCTTAATATTAAATATTGAATTTAAGTGATGATTAATAAGAATACGTTTATTATTATAGCGGCTACACAATAAATCCCATGCGCTGACATAATTGTTAGCAGACACCTCGAAGTTAGAAATAACCCTAGCCGCGTCACCTTGTAAATAAGAAATTAAGTAATGAAATTTATTAATTGGTGGTATACGGTCATTATTGTGAATTAAATTCTCAAATGTGTCTTTAAATTCTAGCCAACGGAAATATGCACCGTCAAATTTATTAATTTGTATCTGTGGCAATTTTAATCCCAGGTCAGTACAAGAATTAGATTCATCAACGCAACATGAAACGTTGTGCATTGAATTTCGCTTATGCTCACACTCAAATACCTTTGAAAACCTTTCAACTAAAGTTTTGGCGGTTGCAATGCTTATTATAATATCCTGTTCGATATTATCACGCTCATCAATTTCGGTTGAAATGTTTTCAGGACTTAAAACTTCTATTTCACCTTGCAAATCGTCAACCCTAACCGACAAAGCTTCAAATTTAGCTAATTTTAATTTTAACTCGGTAAACTCTATATTATTTAATTCCAGCTTATCATTAATACCGGTCAAATAATTTTTAAATTTAGTTATTTGTCCCTTTGCAGACGACCTTCTAATAACTAATTCTTTTAATCTTAATTTTCCTTCCACAGACATGATAAGCTACAATCAAAACAAAAACGAAAATTTGAAATATCTTAATTAAATGAAATTGGCTCACGTTCCTCGTTTCAGTGGTACCTGCCACGCAATGCTTTAGTTGCTTACTCACGGCTCCCGGCCGGTGCAATGCAACTGCCGCGTCGACGCGACAAAAAAAATCTGAAAAAATCGGCAAATGCGCTTGAATCTAACTACCTAAACACGGAATTAGCTAGAGAGCAATTAGATACCTTATTAGTGTTTACGAAGTCTAAGACGAAATACAAAAAAATATATACATATATAAATAAAATATAAAAATAATATTGTATATCTCCGTGTCTTTGGTATCTAATTAAATGTTACATAACGAAATCAAAAGATGAAACAACAATAAAATAATCACTAATTTTTTCCTAAATGTAGGTCCGTCCGTAGATGTAGGTACCTACGTGCTATGAAAAATTAAATTTTTAACCAATTACTTAATCTCACTACTTTAAAAAAGGATTATCAATAAAATACTTATTTGCACAATTAATTGAATTAAGGACACAGTTTGGAACACAAAAAGAAAAGGACAAGGAACACTTAACTTTTGGTTAAATCTCTCGATGTGGCACTTTAGCTGTACTACTGCTCGATTGATTATTTCTTGATTGATATTCTTGATTAATCTTCTATTCTTCTTTGATCCCCTCATGGGCCACCATGTTCATTCTTTAGGGAATGACTGGGCCAGTAAATGAAACTCTTTAGACTTCTTGTACAAACTTGTTTAATTTCATTATAATATGACCTTTCGCTAGTCAAGTACAAAGAGAAGTGATGGCGCACGTCGCCCCACCTTACAATTATTATAATGCAAAAAATGCGCCTGATGTATACATTGCGCAATGTCGCAACATGGCTCGACGCCAGACCATCCGTAACGACCGATAGGGACTGTCTGATGTCTATGAATTATTGCCTTGGACAATGAATTTAACGTATTACATTACGAGTTCAAAATTTAATATATAAACTAACAAAACTATTTCTTGTATACTCTAGTAAATTTACGGTCGATTCGTACATGAACTACGGCAGAAAGTAAACATTTATCACTCTCCAATTAATCAATTATAAAACTTTTCTTAAATTTATTTACTAGAATTAATTTCAAGAAAATTAGCAGCTATTTTAGACGAATAAAACCGGTTTATCTTATATTGTTTAACATAAATTTAAATAATATATGCAAAGGATACTCGACAAACTTATCGAACATTTGAATGTACTTGCGATTATGAATAGGCTGTACCGGATATGTAAGGTTTAAATTACATTGTCAGCTGAGAACGCAAACGAAGACTTTACATATGACCTTTATATTATGCGAATTAGGTTTAATTAATTTACCTGACCGAGTGACCTATGATTCATGAAGTTGGTACATATTGCAAACTAAACACTGCTCAATAAACTAAAATATTATTATAATTTTTGAGCTGTAGACTGTAATGGGGATGTGGAAAATAACGGCTATTAATGTCACTATCAAAAGCCTTTAGACGTTTATTAAACATTTAGGAATAATTAAATAAAAATGTATAGCTAAAATGAAATTAATGAAAATTAAGCCACTAGTGATTAGTCTATATCGAATACAAAATTTTACTTATAACATAAATTTCAGAGACACGAGCTTAACAAACCTGCGCTTTTTGAACGTGGATCAGGCGCTCGGCGATCTTGCTGAATTCATACAACACGTTAAAAGTGATGACTTTGAAAATGGAAGATTCAGGTAAGAATAACTGATAAATAAATATTAATCATTTATTTAAATATTGATATAAACCCACCAAATGAATACACTAACTAATGGCATTATACATACTATATTTGTGTAACTTAAAGGTAGGTACCGAGGCACTATAAATATAAAATTGAACATAACAAACACAAAAAAAAAAAAGAGGAAAAACTATGCTAACCTAACTTAACTAACCTAAACCTAACCACAATAATTGTCGTCTTAAATAACGCTTTGCATATACAGAGATACGTCACATAATACACACACGAAATAATCTTAATGTGAATCGAGGTTAGTCGACCTATAGTTACTCCTTGCAAAAACATATTTAAAGAGGGTCGAGCCACAATCAAAAAGGTACGCAGAGATCTGTTAAACGACGTTAAACACACGTTATATTTGAAAAAATATTGTTATTTACTATAATGTTTCGCAAGATTCACACAATCAAAACATTTAATCATATGGTTTAAAAAATTATGCTTATCTAAGCTGAATTTTAAATGCAACATAACTAAAATCTGTAACATTTACTTAGAGATTTCGATTTTTAGATTTTCAGTTTTAATGAATAATATTAAATGCCGGATAAAAACACAAATTTGTATCATTATCCATGCATGTATTTTTTTAGGAACGCTTCAGTTGGTCTAGTGGGGTGTTCATACGCTGGCACAATGGCGACCTGGATGCGTTTGGCTTATCCGCATCTTGTCGATGTCGCCTTCTCCGATAGCGGACCATTGCATGCACAAGAGGACTTCCCAGGTTAAAATAAATTGTTATACCGGGTAGTCAAAGACCTATAACAATACGGAATAGCATAAAAAATTTACTTGTTGTGTATTCAATATTATATAATAGGATAATAATTTAGCGCTATTAAAAGCCTTTGGCTTTGTAAAGTGAATGTCATTCTTTGGTAAATATTTTGTTTCCAGTTTTAGTCAATATAATCACTTATCGTAGTAATTGATCGTTCTGTTTTCATAGAATATTTAGAGGTAATTACTGAGGCGCTCCGCAACCAAGGTGGTGAGGCGTGCGTGGCTAGTATATTAGAGGCTGTTACGCGCATGAGGGACATGCTTTATACTACTGAAGGAGCGGCGCAAATCTCTACCATGTTCAAGTAAGTTTCCCCGTTGCACATACTCAGATCTTGATCTCTTTTCTTTTTACTTAAGGATATGCATTGCCCATACACTTCCGCCGCTGCTTACAGCGAGGGGGTTATGTGGGATTCGCTATTGTTCACACCTACTATAACGCCAAGGCGCCACCAACAATCGCCCTAGGCTGGATGCGGTAACAATAGAGCCTCAGGGCTCATGCCCACGAGATGGTTTTTCGCCAACTACACGACGCCGGCCCTAGTGTCGGCTCACCGGTCCGTGGCTAGCACCGGCGCCGTGTGGTCGGCGTCATAGTATCCCATACAAGACTGATGAGCCGACGTAGACCCGGTTTTTCGCCGGACTTAGCTCCGGTGAAAAACCGTCTCGTGGGCATGAGCCGTTATCCCCACAGACACGCGATATGACGGTAGCCTCTCCACCCCCATTCTTAGTTTGTGAAGATACTTGACAAAACAAGTATCCTTCACAGACCGGGCCGTTCGCTTTTAAAGAAAAAGCTTGGGGAGATCGAGTCCAGTACTTGCAGGGATGGAGCACGCCTTCAGTTCTTGGTCTCGGTTTAACCCAACGTGAACCTCTGTAAACTGTAACGTAACTAGCTATCCCTCTATTACAGCACCTGTGCTCCCCTGCAAGCAAACGCAACGTTAGATAGCAGTACATTTTTCTGGTATGGCATAACGGAAACCTTTGCAGTTCTAGTGCAATATGCCATGCCGGGCAACATTGCTAAAGCCTGTGGAGTCATCACTGAAGCGACTGAATGTAAGATCACCTTTTAAAACGCTATATTCACTGTTCGTTCGTCGTACGTTCCTCAACCACTTCATCCTTCTACCAACCCGTCTCTTGCCTGGAATGTTGCCCATCATTATAAGCTGCTTACCAAGATATGCGACTTTCCTTATTTTAACAGTTTGCATAAACTTTCGTGTCGTCTCGATTCGTTGAAGGACGTATCATTCTTCACTCTTTGGATCTAGCTGAGGCGAAGCATGCGATGGTACCATGACATCTCAAAAGCTTAGAGGCGCCTGAGCCTTCTTTAATCGTCCCTGTCTCACAGCAAGAGTCCAACCCTCAATTTGAACTAATGTGGCCTCTTTTTTTCATTCACGCTGTAAAGATTATCAATTAAGATTTTTTAATTCATTGATTTTACAGCGGATCCTGTGCAGCGACTAGCGAATTGGATAAATAGTATGAACGAGGCGTGTATTGAATCACGGTACTCTGTAGTTGTTAATAATCATCGAAACACTGACTTTGACGCTAAAGATGCCACTAGTAAGTACTTAATTAAATATTATCATATTACTTGATGCCGAAGATTTATCAAAACACTATAATTATATATTATTGTGTTTAATATTTACATGGGGCTGCTAGCTAATATTATACTAGCAAATAGTTGTACTAGAGCACTGCGTTGTATGTACATTGATGTATTGAAAACTAATTGCACCTCTATACAATGCGATACATACAATAAACCTGAATTGATTGCTTTTCGATTAGTTTTATATACACAATATATTATATTACAACTATATAATTGATAATAAGATGAAGATTCTAATTTAGGAATGATAATGACGTACAAAACATAATTAAAATCCAACAACTCTTTTATATAAAGTTGGCCTAGTGGCTTCAGCGTGCGACTCTCATCTCAGTGGTCGTAGGTTCCTACTCAGCCTATGCACCAATGGACTTTCAGTATAGACTGAAACTATGCGCATATAGATGCGCATTTAACACTCGATCGTACGGTGAAGAAAAACATCCTTATGCTGAAAAAGTCGACGGCGTGTGTCAGCCACAGACAGCTGAATAAATTCGTCGATTCACGGCTCCCCTTAAAATAGCTCCAAACTATTTTTTACATAATTTTATCACTCCGCAATGGTGTACCATGCAATAATGTGTTGCATGCTCTTTAACCCCATAAAAATTAATTGAAACATCAAGATTTGTGATTGTAATTCACTGGGAACTAAGACAATATAATTTACATCATGCATGTAATATTATCAGTCTTTTAAATTTTTTTAAGGAGTCCAAAGCCATGTACGTCCTTAATATTACTTGGGGTACTACATACATAGAGAACAATAGAAATCAATTTGGAGCTGTTTTAAGGTGAAGCTTTGATTCGAAAAAAATTCTTACCGAAATCTGATTCCCTTCTTATATATTAGAAAAAACAAATGATCTCAAAACAGATACAGTAATGTCACTGCTAAAATGAAATAACTGTTTTATATTATTCAAATTATCTACTAGTTGAAAACCAAAAAACGACAAACGTGTTTTGGCATCCCCCCCTTCTAACCTAAGCGTAGTGCCTGCCACTGGATTATAACTTCTCGTAGATATGCAATGATATTCTAAATAAGACTTTTTCCCGTATGTGTTCAGAAGCGTGTTGCGAACGAGTCGCAGTAATCAATCAGATGGTCGGCTACATGCTACAATAAACTAGTGTCAGCGCTCACATGGTACGGCAGCCCGCCAATTAGCATACGTCACTAACCAGACAATGCTATGTTACTTTGCTACGTGTTTGCGTAGTAAATTATAGAATAATTGAAAATTAATATTACATTAAATAAAAGGAAATTCATTATTTATTATTCTCGATGTTTACGATATTTTTTGAGCAGTGCGCCTGTGGACTTATCAGACCTGTGTTGAGTACGGATGGTACCAGACGACGACCAGCGACAGACAGCCTTTCCTGCAAACTGTGCCATTAGAATACTTCCATCAGATGTGCAAGGATTTCTTCTCAAACAAGTAAGTCGATCTGACAGTATATACATGTAAAATACATAATATCCAAACCGTACCGTAATACTGCTTGAAGAAGACGACGCGACTGAAGGAACGAAACGTATTCGATGTCTCCGTGTATATTATATAGGTACAGCGTGTAAAGACTGAAGCTAAAATCTTAACTGCCATGATTTGAAGAAATGCATTGTGGTTTTTGATAAAAGAAAAATCTAAATGAAGTTTATAAATTGTAAAAAACGTATTTGATTTGTAATCAATAGAATACAACGTTAACCAAAGAAGTATGCGTCGAACGAGTTATCTTGCATTACCTAAAGTACGTACAACTACGGCAAAAAATGTTTACATACAAGGCCACAGCTGTATAATAACTACCCTCAGATATAAAAAAGATTACTCCTATCAATTCATTCAAATCGAAGCTAAGTGAATATGTCAAACAAAATTACTTTTAAATTCATTTCTTATAATTACTTTCAATTCATATTTCTTTAGTTACTTTTATTTCTAAGTTTATTGCATGTACGGCTATCTTTTATTGTGATTACTTTAAGAACGACTACAATTTTATGTTAATCTAGAGTATTATTCTCATGTAAGTGAAATTTTTTGTCTTTTTTGAGAAATAATAATAAAGAGAATAAAGTCTTTAAACCTAATGATGGGCATTATATAATTTTGCCAATTAATTATCTTAACATGTACGAGCCAAGGCTGTAGATTTTGCCCACTCAGGCTTTATTAGTTTTATAAGCGTGGCGATTTCCTAAATCGTCGGAGTTACGCCCCGAGAGTATATCCAGACGTAGGCACTCTCTTGGACTGTTACATTACATTCATTCGTTACATAGCAATTAACATTTCATTTTTTCGCTTATATTCTATTGTTGAACGCGAGTGGTTAGTATAGAGTAAAACTAAAATTGTCTATTATATAAAGCACCCCGATGACCCAGGAACCGTAAATTTTGGTCCTTCGAGCCGGATATGAAACTAAATGATAACTATGAAAAATTAATAGTCCTCTATGGAGTTCAGTACTATTTGCGAAATATTTTAATTATTGCCAATACCCAAAACTTTATTGAAAGCTATAACCTATAAACTTATACTTTTCAGTGTAGACGAAAATGTTCTCCGCTCAGGCATAGGACGTACCAATCTCTTCTTCGGTGGGAGAACTTTGCCCGACTATGTGGTGTCCGTCACTGGTGGGATTGACCCATGGAGGCCCATGGGCCCTAACGTAACCCACAGCACTCCACTCTCACCTGTCTACTTTGTACCTGATGTATCGCATTGCAGGACAGTGATGTAAGCTTGTCTTATTTTATTCAGATTTAATATGAAGGTAGCACTTACAAATGCCTTACAATTCCTAGAAATGTTTCAAAAACCCGTAAATTTTTAGAGACCACTAGGATACAATTGTCTCTTTCGATTAGTTGATCTTTTCCTAAGGTAAGATGCAGACCACACAAACATCGACCCTCAATCGTTGTGATTCCCGACCGGAATCATGTGTGTTTTATATATTTATTATTTACTAGTTTCATTAATATTTTTATTACAAATTTTATACTAAATTTTCCCACATAAAATCTTGCACGAGTAGAGTGAGAATTGTATATAGGTATTAAGCATTATCTTTATGAGTACTAAGTACTTTTAGTTATACTAAATAAGTTTGAATTGTCCACTTTACCAAAAGGTCGATTTCCATCCCTCCCTTAGTAAATTTAAATAAATAAAGGTTTAGGAATAATTCAATGACTATTGCTTTTTCAGGCCCATGGCGAATAGTGAAACTGAAGAATTAAGAGAAGTAAAATTAGCAGTAATTGAATACATGGCGTATCACATGACCGGATCACATTTATCAGTTGCGTCTGCGCATGTCTCTGTGGTTACTCCTATAGTGCTATTGCTATCCGTTATAGCATTGATTTTGTAATTTTAGTCATAGCCATTTTGAAATAAATTTTTCATTTTGTACTTTATTATTATAATCTGTACTAGGCGTGAATTTGCCAGAATCTATAATAATAATAGTTGATTTAGCTGTCTATAGTCAGTTTCCTGTGGATTTCTTTTATTGAACAGGGAGCAAACGGGCAGGAGGCTCAACTGATGTTAAGTGATAACGCCGCCCATGGACACTCTCAATGCAGAGGGCTCGCGAGAGCGTTGGCGGCTTTTTGTATTATTTTTGTAACTTGATTGTTCATATAGTGTGTCAAATTTAGAAGAATCTCCGTAATTAAATTCATTAAGAAATCTATCATATGACCCCAGTGTGACCATAAACAAAGACAAGAGTTTTATATAAAAACACATGAATCGTTTAACGGTATGTATTTATTGATACTACTAATTAATACATAATTATATTTGTAACATCGAAGCGGTGCGTGTAGGCAACTATACCACAGATTATATTCAAGCTAAACCGATAGAAGCGTCTTTAAGAAATCGAAACATTTTCAATAAATATATAAAAACTAACAATATTAAGGAATGATTAATAATGATTCCTACACGACACCATTTAAGAGTCAACGCAGACTGAGAACTTTAATGGATTCAGATACCACCTAACATTATAGATGAAGAAATTGTCGAAATTTTTATACAAGTTACTCAATCTGCGCTAAATCAAGAATAAACATTTAAGATATATATTCGAGTTTACAAAATGTTTTACAAAAGCCCAATAGATAAAGCTAACAAGGCGCACATTCTCGTCATCAAAACTGTCTAAAATTGTCTTATAAATCCAGTATATTTCTATGGTGACTGTTATTAAGTTCAGCGCCATCTAGCGGCGTTCCCGAATATGTAAAGAAAAACAAATGTGCGCCAAGCTATAAATAGTGTCAAAAATTGGATGGTTTTTGGTGTATAACTAGCCTAAGGTACAAAACATATAATATTTCTCTTGTACATACATATTATGTTACAACTCTATGGCTATCGTTAGACACTTATTATCACCTTACATATATTTCCTATATGCTGTTTCAGTTGCTTAGAGAAATATTACGAAAAATATTCATTTAAGTCTATGTATTTCAGAATATATAATCGCAAAATGAAACAGCGTATATGGTAATAATGGAAAATACACATTAAACAAGAAACGTCAAATATTTTTACAAAAAAGTGGGTACTTATTAATGGTAAGATTAAATTTGATATTAAAAGCATATTCTTTACAATACATAATAGTAAATAATAGTTACATTTTATTTATTTTTTTAATTTCTAAAAAGAGGGTAGAATGACGTTTATATGAAAAAATGCGTATTTTGATCGGTTTGGACATTAGTATCAGAATATGGCATTAAATGTATCTCGTGGGCATTTACTCTTAACTACTACCGACGTAACAAAGTTTTATTCGTGGAATATCAGCCGCTTACTATTAACATTAAAGTATATTTATAATATATATCGGAAATGTATTTTACTAAAAAATGCTTAATGACAAAAATAGCTGAATATGTGCAAAAACTTACGAACAGCCAAAATCAATAAAAAAATCTTAATATTGTATTATTGAATTTAAATTTTAAAATTTAAACACATAAAGAAACCTACTAAAACAAACAGACCTAAGCAGCTAACGATCAAAATGATTTTGTATTGTCCAATAATACTTTTCGATAAAATATACACGTGGCTGTCAAATAAAATTAAAGATTTATTTACATTACATAACTTAAAATTTGCGAGACAGAAATATTGATTTTCTCTATACAGGTGATCACAATTTACGTATGGAATAAAATAAATTTTTAATACTACTTACAGAGAAAGGTAACAGAAAAAAATTATTACAAAATATACATTTCGAATCGCTTTACTCGATATCGGCGATCGATTCAACCCGTTGGGATTTTGATGGAATTGGCCGAGAGATGGCGTTGTACAAAGTCAAAAGACCAGCTTTTTGGTCGAACGTCAATTTAGTTTTCGCCAGCTGTGATCAGCCTCCGTTACTCGGTTGGTCCTGGAACAAGACAAATTACATAAGTTATATTAAAAACACACGTTTCTTATTGAAAAGTTTCAAATTTTAAACATTTCTTTTTTCTTTTTTTAATTTGGTTGATTCACACACCTGCATTGATTGGTCCACACTCTCATTTGGAAACGTCATATCTTCACTGACTTTTTTATCTGAAATATACGTTATGTTACAGAAATATAAAAATATCGTGCGTTAAAAATATGTTTTTAGTTCATATCTATGTCAAGTATTGGATAAAAATATCACTCCATATTATTAACGATGTAACCTGAAATTAAACTAATTAAAAAAAATTGTCGAAAAATGGGAACAACAAAACCATTTTGTAAGTTTAGAGGAGTGTGTCATTATTAATCTAATATATAAAATTCTCGTGTCGCACTGTTTGTGGTTAAACTCCTCCGAAACGGCTAGACCGATTCTCATGAAATTTTGTGTGCATATTGGGTATGTCTGAGAATCAGACAACATCTATTTTTTATCCCCCTAAATATTTCTTTTTTATTTTTAGATATTTTTTCTGTTTTTATTTTTTTGTGATACAGCATTAAAATACATACAACTTTCACCCCTCTACGATCAACCCTTATTTTTTTATCATAAATGATATACATGGCAAAACGACGTTTGCCCGGTCAGCTAGTAATTTATATTAAATTTGAATAGTTTAAAGATAAGCCTAATTAATAAAGCTGGAAAAGGAGGATGGGCTTTAAAACATTAAAAGTAAGTACCATGAGCGAGCCTCTCAGCCCGTTCCCTTGCAGCCGCGAGGCTTGATCTTAAGGAGACGCGATCTTGTTGCAGGGCGGGAAGAGCAGCCACCAGCCGCCCCAGAGACGCTTGCAAGCCGCAAGCCACGCCCACTAAGTTCCGAGCCAATTGGGCTTCACCCGACGCACTTATTTCTTCCGCTGTAATTATTTGCATATTAATTTTGTGACACAATTCGAAAATTACCTATAGTCGTATTTTTAATTAGACGAAGCCAACTGACAGTATGTAATGTCACTTTGTAAAATAATGTTGCCATATTTAAAGTAATAGTGATACGTTCAGTTCTTGTTCAATCAGATGAATGAACAATGAGTGTGAATAGTTAATCATTTCAAACTATAAAAGACTATTATTTATATTTGAAAATTGTATAAAAGTGCTCTGATATAAGTTAGGTACTAGTACTATGTAACTACAATCAGTTTTTTGACGGCTTATTACAAAGCGCGGCGCGGCGACTAGTGCCATCACCGATCATTAATTCAGGGGTTTTTACTTTGTCACAACACTATTTTTATTTCATTAAAAACTGACAACACCGTAAACGTCAGTTGACTTCGTCTAAATAAAAATACGACTATAATCTAAAGCTTTGTAAAACATCTCGAGGTGTCTGTGCCTAAAAAGGCTATGTGCATATTATTTTCATGAAAGACAAACGTAATGTAGAAAATATAAAACTCACCAAAAGCCGCATCAACGGTAGGCTCCCGCAATTGGTTGTCAACATCCGTCAACAAGTCGAACGACTGATCGACCGATTGAGTTGGCGCCGTTTCAGACGGGTGTGACACGTCACCCGGTCGAGAGTCTTCTACTAGTGTCCAGTTGTCTGCCGATTCTGAAATATTAACTCGGTCATTTTACGAATCGTTACGTCCACTAACGACTTAAGTAAAATAGATTTGGTTCTTACTATGAGCACTTATTACGGGTACTTATCAATTACAAGTACATGTATTAAAGAATTAGACTGATTAACCAATCACAATCAAAATCATTTATTCATGTAGGTAACACAATGTACACTTCGGAACGTCAAAAAAGAAATATACAGTAAATTGCTTCTAATTTAACATTTACTGCCAGTTCTCAAATCAAGGGCGTAGAACGGAAGAGAAGAACTGGCAATAAACTCTCCGTCACTCTTTTTAATCGCCAAGTTTTTGTTTTACACAGCGTTTGTAAGGAGCTGAAACCATTACACCATGTTCCACATGACATCTTAAGTAATTAATAATAATAACATAAATTAAAAACAAAGATTTGTCCTCTATCAGCAGGAGACATGGTGAAATAGGAGCACGCACTTACAATCTCGTGGAAACAACACGCAAATACTTAGTCGAAATTACTAACATCACCGCATACACGAATTCAAGTACGTCCAGTCACCACAAGTAGAACCCATCGCCTCCGTCCATCCATCGGCCCCTCGCTATGTTTTAGAATCAAGCTATAATTCCCCAAGATATCAAATCATTCGTTTTGGACATTGACAACCTCTTAAGGTAAACTATTATACTAATGGTAAATTTGATCAAACTAGCCAGGTAGCAAAGAAAAATAATAAACGGTACTTATGCTCTACTGGAGGCTGGAGGTAATTAAAAGATTTACCATCATTACGGGGCGTGGCAGAAGGTCGCAAAGTCCTACTCCGACACGAGTCACATCGTCCGCTGCGCGCGCGCACCGCACTCGTCTCACTCAGGGATAGCGCACTGCTTAGCGCTTCCGTCAGTTGATTCGCTGTAAATTTTGTAAAATAAATCTTAGTTTTAAAAGCAAAAGTTATTTTCAAGGCAAGTGTGTATTTCTATAAATCTGGACGAGTGCGAGTATAGTGTCGCTCTCGAGGTGGACTCTTTATATAACATTATAAGAAAGAAAAAAAAGTGCAACTCATGCAGTCGTTTGTTAAACAGCCAGTAATGTTTTCATATCGTGATAGTTTTTTTTTTCATTGAAACATTTACAGATAATAGTATCCACATTCGAAATTCAAAACACCTTTAACAAGCTCTTTTAGAAAACATTTTAAATAACTCGGGTGAACTCGTGAACTGTAATTGAGCGAAAATATCTAAAGAAAGACGAATGTATCTGATTAAGAAAATAACAGGTATTAAAGAACGTACACAGCATAATGTACGTACGTACGCAGAAACTGAAATTACCTTGTGCTTGCGCAGCCAACAGCAGTTGATGAACATCCGGTTCACCATTTGATTCATCGTTAGGACGAAGGTCTCCACATAAGTCTAAAAAGGTTAATTTATTAGATAAAACTCTAAATAATATTCAACTGTATGAATAGTTTTTGCTTGATGCTTTCTTACATGATTTTTGCTTTAACATAATAAGCTGGTAACACGCAAAATAAATATTATTTACTACTTTGTCAAACTAAAGGTTTAACCATTAACTTCATTTTTTAACCCTAAGGTCATTTAAGATAAAAAACTAAGTACAATATTTTCCCTTACCAACTTGTCCCATTGTTTCCGCAACGGCAAGTTCCGCCATGTGGCTGTAGCTTTCGGGAGGAACGCCTAACAACTCGGCTATTACCGCACTTTTCGCTTGTAATGCTTGAGATATCGCCTCGTCAAGGCGCCGGAGACGTTCTAAAATAAATAGTTTATAATTAGTTGAAGTGATAAATAAGTAGCTTTTGAATAGTATTCCATTACATCTTTTGATAATAATAATAATTTTAAATTTCTAATGCTATGGTTAAAACTACGACTCGTAGTGAGTTGTACCCTAAGGCTGTAATTTTTGTTTTTACAAATGACAAAATCGATAGTTAATAATCCGGAAGTTGACTATCATTGATACTTGTCTGTACTGTAAGAAGCATTTTTTTATAAATAAGGGTCTGTTTCACAATGTATGGATAAAGTACCAAATAGTTATGCAACACATAAATTATTTGGAAGATAAATTGTGCTATTTGACACTTCATTGGACTCATAACTTATGATGGACTTTATGTGACAAATAGCGCTATCTGACATAAGTAATAAATAGCTAATTTGGACCTTATGTAGAACTTATCCGTACATTGTGAAACAGACCCTAAATATCACAAAACACAAGTATTCTACGAATTTCTTATGAAAACTCCTATTACCTGTGTGAGATAGGACTCTCTGCGCAGTGAGTACGTCCCTAAGAGGCGGACGTACGGTCACAGCCCCGCCCTCCACTAACGCGACCTCACTTTCTGGATCACACACATGCGTCGTTATACGTCCCACTGTTGGTCGCCTTCTGAAGAAAAACATAAATTATTCAGATTTTCATTTGTTTGCAATTTAAACCATCCGCTTACTTTTATACAAATTTTTTATTTACATTTAATACAAATACTCTTCACAAGTGACTAGTGTTATGTTACCTAACATTAGTTAAATTACATTTATACATATTAGTTAATAATTAGAAGCGCAAACCAAATGTCAACTTACACTTGTAGTTAATTAATTGTAATACGTCAGTTTAGTAATATATGTTCATATACTCATAAACTGTGATATAACATTCTCGTTTCCGATAATGTCACTTAGATTTAAGGTCAGTTAAATAAGTCAAACTTTGTTAGTATATTGTCGTAATCTCACTACCCCTAATTTTATGTTAGTTATAAGGTCATTTTTGAAACGATTAAAGCCAGCCCAGCGTTAAGAGGTTAATTTATTTGAAGATCCCTCCAACAACCCCTACCGAAGTTAACTTGAGGTTTAATTTTTTTTTCTTGTAAACAGTAAGTACATCTTTACTTCAAAGCGCTTAAAGCTAATAAGATTTATTGCAACCATATTTGCTATTATGATGAAATGATTAAGATGTATAGTCCTTCGCAATATTCGCAATGGCTCAATTACATATTTATAAACATTTATAATAGTCTTCCCTTCTTTAATTATAGGTAGACTAAGCAATCATCAAAATCTGTTTAGTTTAAGTAGATACAAAATTTCTTGACTATAAAAATGGTCAAACTGTTACCTGTGTTTATCTTCAGCATTGTCCGTCTCAACAGAGACAGATCTATTCAACCGTTCAGTTTTCTCTTCTCGCTCTAACGATGCTTTCTCTCTTTCTGGCTCCACAGAGGCTCTATCGTTCGTCTCTTTCTCTCTCTCCTTGTCCTTGTCCCGCACATCGCGGTCGCTGTCACAGGTATCGTCTGGTGGAGCGCTAGACGCTGACTTCTCAGATGCATCAGACGGATTTCTCGATACGTTTATTCCTATAATATATTTAATCGTAATTTATTTTGTTATAAAAAACGTAATGCGTTAAAAAAAACCACGTTCCAATAAATAATAAAATTATAAACAACTATATAACATTTAATATACGGGAACTTCAGAACCTACATATTATTATTTTTTTTAAATATAAGTTATATGCTATATCTTGCATTACTATAAGTACTGTCCTTTAGACAGAACAAACATCAAGAGGTCAAAGACATTCTTGTTTTCTTAAGTTTCACTCAACAATTAGCACAGGCGCCTAAAGAATTATTAAAAATTGCGTTTGTATTAAAAATTCTAACCAGAGTCATCAGTGGATCTCGTGTGTTGATGTGTAGACGTAAGTGTGGGTTTAGTTTCAGCCAAACGCGATTCTTGTATCAGTCGCACCCATCTGAAATAAATGAAAACAAACCACATGTATATTTAAATAAATAAAAAGCGGTTATTTGCAAAATCTTTTATGAAGTTCTTCGCCGAAATATGAGGTTACAACAAGTAAACTGAAAATGTATACATTAACTATTAATAAAATGTATGTATAGACTCAGATGTTCAGACTCGTATTGAAATTGAAAAACGTGCCCGGCCAAAAAGGTTTGCCATCACTGACATGTCAAAAAATGATAGCTGTCAGAATTCTACGGAATGAAAAATCAAAGTATAGAGGCCGTATCTATTTGTAAAGAGGACTCATATTAAAAGTTCCTATAAAATTCTTGTATATTGTCACCGTGTTTATAACAGAAAAAAGATTACAATGTATGAAAAACCAGTGACGATCAATAAAGTTATGCATTTAATTTAAAAAAAACTCACGTAGAATATTCGGCTGCAGTGTTGGTGGACAGCTCGTGCATTTGAAAGCCGTTGATGTTCATGAGGAAGAATGTATTTCGCATCGCAGCGTTCGGACGGAACAGCACTTTATCCCTGTTGATTAAAACTTAAGTTAACTTAGAATCCATATTGAATATTATTCATTTGAAAATCATTTTGAACTAAAATTGTTGAAAATTTTATTTTATGTTTATGTAAAAAAAATATATTTTATTTTAATGTGTGTATTGTCGTGTGTGTTTTAGTTGTATTTTTTTTTTATATTTTTTTTTTGAGAAACTTATGCTTGCGTTGATTGTCGCACATTTTGGATGTAAGATTGTGTGAAATAATTGGTAGATTTAGGACTGTGTGTGATGTCGTGGGCTTGATAAATAAATAAAATAAATAAATAAATAAAATTTATACATCAAAAGAGAAATTTTTTGTTCGTATTATTCATTAAAAATATGAAATAATTTATGTATTACGATTATATCAAAGTAGAATTTTGCATTAATTTGAACAATGAACTAACCACTTGATAAGCGGCGACAGCATAGTATTCTGCGAGGGATGCGCTATGGGCTTCAATAAAAACCGGTCAGCTTCACGTTGTAAAGAGAACCAGGCTATCATCCAGCATCAGTGCCTGAAATATAAAGTATAATACAATTTCTACCACAGTAATATTTTTTATACAAGCATTTTTTTTATTTAATATTTTTATTTTTAAACTATCAGACATTTCCCAAACCAAATATACACAATAAATGACTTTTTTCATCTTAGACCTTTATTGTATTTAACTACAGTGTAAACTCTTTATAACGAATTTCAAGAGACCGAGCATTTTTTATTCGTTATAGAGTGTTCGTTATACGGAAGCAAAAAAACTATTTAACCAATTACAATAATTTTTAATTTTATTACAATCAATAGAATAATTTCTACACACATATATTCTGTTAACTTTGCCTGACGTGATATATATATAGGTGACGATGGTGCGTTTAGTTACAGATGTTGAAACCACAAACAAAAAAAAAAAAATGTCTAAATATGAAAGTACTTTTTTCTTTTTCTTTTAAAAGGGGATTTTTTTTTTGGTTTTTTTTTTTGCCCCCCCCCTTTTTTTTTTTTTTTTTTTTTTTGGGGTTTTTTTTTTTTTTCGGTTTTTTTTTTTCCTTTTTGGGGGGGTAAAATGTCAAACGCAAATAGGGGATTCATCGTGCAAAAATCACGGAGTCTCTAAGTCAACCCCTGCAGAGTTATAATTTATTTTGCGTTTTATAAAGATTTTTTTTACTGATTCTTATTCAATTGTCCACAATGAGTTTTTTAGAGTGTTAAAGTTCGAAACAAATTTAATATCAATTTTACGTTTTATTTTTTTCAAATAAAGAACTATTTGTATACTTCGGACCCCACTGTGAAAAAAAATTACTCTACCGAAAAGTGACCCTGTATTGCAAGTTTTGTTTAAATGTTTATAAATATTTCATAGGGATTCTGAAAAGGTATTACACATGGCCATGAGTCGCTCTAATATCTTTCTAGGAAGAATTACAAACAACAATTGTGAAATAATTGTATTAAAACAATTATTTCTCAAAGGTGGCACTCCAATAAATTCTCAAAATTCCTAACTCAAACTCAAATTGATCCACGACTTTTTGGCCACCCTGTATATAAAATAATAGTAATTCCCATTAGGTCAGGTAGTCCTTGTTTTATAATAAAACTGTACTCACAAGAACGGTCATCTTTTTGGTGTCAGTGCGCACAAGTAACTCCCCCTCTATACGAAGCGAGTGATGAGGCAACTCCAGACGACGTAGCTCCTCCCACTCGGGACTCATGGGAGCTCGCACTTCCAGCTTACTTTGAATTGTTCTCAATCTGGAATTTTTTTTCATTATACGAAGAGACGAGACGCTCAAAATACTATCTATATTTGACAGATGTTAATTTGACTTACAATTGTCATGTGCCAAACTTTTCTATTTTATTGGAGTTGCTACTGTTACTATATTTACTTTTTCAAGTATTAGGCTGTCCTTTGGATATTTGGATATGAAATGTTTTTAGCACAAAATTCAAAAAATTCAAATTCAAAAATCATTTATTCACGTAGGTAACACAATTATTTTCATTAATGTAATATAACGCTTAATTTTCATCTGCCAGTTCTCAAATCAAGGGCGTAGAACGGTGAAAATTTCCGCCACTCTGTAATCGCCAGTTATTTTCACAACGTTTGTAAGGAACAAACAAAATGAAGTAGTAATGGTGAAAGCACGTAATAATTATTGTCACCCCGAAAACGTTATATCAAAATTAGTTACGGACCTGTGCTCATTCTCAGAGGTCCGTATGGCAGTATCAACACTATGCAATACATCTTTAGCCGTGTTCAACGCTTTGCGAAGCTGGGTAATATCTTCTTCGCTCTCTGGGTCATCTTCACTTTGATCTTCAGTCACAGTCTTAAGGATACCTTCTAGCAGTAGTTGGTATTTCGTCAACCTGAAAGAGATGACATAATTGTCAACTAATTCATATCACACTTGTTTTATTTATTTTTTTATTTTGCTAAGTAACTAAATTTAAAAAACAAATAGAATTTCTAGGAATTTATACTTGATATATATACTTGATTTATATAATCATACCTCTGCCAAACACAGGCAAGCAAATCTCTCAACTGCAGCCTACCACAGCGAGGTAATTGTTCCCTTCCAGCCAAAAACTGATGTAATTCTTTATTCTTACGCCGGCGCTCACGCAACGCTTCAAGCGCCATACGCTGTCCCCGACAGAATTTAGCTAGGCACGAGGAATATCCGGCTTCACCAAGCTGAAAAAAATAATTATGAGAGAATTTAATAATAAATAAAAAGATGATTGACGGAAAATGCAGGCGTGGTTTGGTTTCTTTTGGCGTTTTTGGCCGGCATTGGTTTAGGGGCCGTTCGAGTATTACGCAGTAAGCACTATGGGGGGGGGGAGTCTTTGATTTTCTTATCTGGTGATTACGTCTACAGTAATTATTTACTTTTACACTAGACATAGACAAATCATTTATTACAAACAAAAACACATATTACCCACACATGTTGCCTGTAAGTGCTTGACACATTAAAAATTGTATTTAATTTTTCTTTTAACAATGTATCAGTGTGCCAAGCGTTGGCAAGCTTCTATAAATAAATAAAACGAAATTTTCGATTTTCGAGAGCTTTGCTTACTTTTTAAAGAATCCAAAAATATTATTTATCTTTTACAATATAATTACTTACCGTATTAAGCATAGCATCAGCAACGGGCCGTACTTGTACAACATGATTGGGCGCCTCGTTTCGTACCGTCCTCAATTCTGAGTACAGTCTTAAGTGGCGCTCTTTAACACTGGGCAAGTTTGGGAATAGCGCTCTCAACTCTTCAGGAGGTAGGAGATTGGACTGTCGCTCTAAGGGCTTCAGGAAATCACCGCCAAGGACTTTAAGCCAACGCACGTGAGATGCTTCAGAGACAATCAATTCTGTAAAATGAAAAGTATTTTTCAATATGTCAATAAATTGTTTAATATAAAATTAACCATGCATAAGACATGATGTTCATTAGCCTCGACTTTTAACTACAGAGCCAGTTCAACATTGAATAATGCTTCGTTCTCTTCACCGGTTAAAGAATCGAGATCTAAATGGGTGCAAATTTCTGCGTTCACTCGAAATGCAATTCAAGCTCAAGAGCGAATCAATAAATATGCCAAAGTTAATGTATGTAGATTAAATAATTTACGAGTTTTGAAGGGGTCAAAAGTAAATCGAAATTCATACACAAACATGGAGCGTTGCCAGGTTTTCTTACCATGTATAACTTCTTGTCGCTTGCGTAGCCTAGCACTTAGCACTATGGTGTCTCGTACGCCTGGAGGCAGACTGTCCGACCATTGTGCTGCCAAGGGCTCCTCTTCATCTGACCAATCTAAAATATCAAAATTCATAAAATACCTATCTATAAACTGCTATTACCTTATGGAATTGTTCTATTATTGAATATACAAACTATAACATTACCTTGTTGTTCAGCCGCAACAGAGCTGCTCTCATTACTCCGGGATGATAAGCTGGAACTGCTGGAACTACCCGAAGGTGCTGTTCCCGCTCCTGGTTCCAGGTCACTGTAACATACACGCACAAAGCTTACATAGTGCATAGCATATTCTTTTTGTAGTTATACAATATATTTTATTTGTAATTGTTCCATTAACACTAACATAATGTATTGACATTGGTGAGTAAACAAAATAAAAAAAAGTTTAAGAACAACATTATTTTTTATATATATATTTAAACAGAAAATCATAATATTTTATCATCTCACCTTTTTATAATAGTACCGTAATTACAAAGGAATTTTAATACTAAAAGCAAAACAATGACTACATATCGCTGGGCGCCATCAAAGAGAACGCTAGGATTCCGTGAAAACAATTGTACTGGTATTAATAACTAAGAAGCAAAGGTCGAAAGGAAGCCGCTAAATAAACACGTGCAGAGGAAATAGGAGGGCTATATTTGGCATTAACAGCCCTACAACGCAAAGCCGGGGTAATCGCTCAAACTACTTTCTCTTAGACCAATTCGCAACATTTGCTTCAAAATAAAGTAAGGTTTTAGTTACATATAATTATTTTCAAAATTATCTATCGGGATATCTGTCTCTAACAGTTCTACAGATTTCACTTAACAATTTATTTGAATATCAGTTAACTTTTAAAAATTCAAGACTTTCAGGCATGGCGCGTCAGAAGAAATGCTTCAAAATGCTGAAATCACTACAAATGTTCAAGTCAAATAAGTTATATGTAACAGGATGATATTTAGTTACGCGCCATATTTATTTTGGGCAAAATTATATTAAAATATATATATTTATTTTTAGATAAAACACACACACACAATCCTACTAAAAGTTTTGTTGTAATATGTGAGATAATAACATGAAATAACTTAAAAAAATATATAAAAAAATGAAAACTAAAAAAATATAGTTATTAATAAAAATACATTCCCTATAGTATTATTCATTTACCAGATGTAACTGTTACATAAGGAATAGCTTGTCTGTTTCTGATATTTATACATCACGACCCTGAAACAAACGTAGAAATCTGGGCATTCAAATCAAACTTTCGTAGATCAAAACATTATCATAATATTTATACGGTTTTGTTTGTTTGCTTTCGTTTTACTCGACCGTGTTCCTGCATAAAGGTTTTCCACGTTTTCTTTGGAGTCGTGCCCAGGGATAAATTTTATATCCTCCAGATGCAAGGGCGTGACATAAAAAGAGTTGCTCTTGATAGTGGCTCGTCTTATGACCCTATATTTAACAGCGACAAAAGAATGTATCCATTTTAAAAACTCAGGAACGCCCAAAAGTAAAGGGCTGGGTATGAATTGTGATAACTATATTTAAAAATAATCAACGGCGCTAAAACCTAAAACGATGATTGTCATTTATTTTTTATAATAGTTCACCTGTCCGCAGACATAGTAAGTCATATTTCAAAGACATATTCACTCTTCCGAAAATTTCAATAAATTTACTGATAATTTTATCTACAATTTAACTACATTATCTATGTCATCATTATATGTAGATACTAGTGGACCCCACAGACGTTGTCCTGCATGATATTTAAAGCGATTAGGATATTAAGCAAAGTATGAAAGTACCGACTGCAGTGCCATCTGCCGGGCTGATTTGTAAATCTAAACCATTCCCAGATCCCCTTGAACACACACAAAAAATTTCATCAAAATCAGTCCAGTCGTTTGAGAGAAGTTCAGTGACATACACACTCACAGAAGAATTATATATATAAAGATTTATAACTTGCATAGACGCGATCAAAACCACGGCTTTAAGATCATACTGTATGAAAATACATATATTCTTTACATTAACATAGCGATTAGCTAAATGAATAATTCTAAAGAATCCATTACTATGGATGGACCTTGTATTTATTCAATTATTACTTATACATAAGTAGTGATATAATAAAATCCTATTATAACACACGTATGACATCACGTCATACTTGTCTTTGTGTATTCTTTAAAATAAAACACATAGCTCTCATTGTTATGGCTAACTTTGCTTTTTTATTTATTATATTTTATAATATAGAATGAGAAATTAAGAATTAAAAGCAAATACCTTGTGTATTATAAAACACTGGCTAATTTTGAAACCGTCAAGTTAAAGCCATACAAAGCCTAAACATCTTCAATTAATTAAAAAGTTCCTTGCCTTTAGAAATTTGTTGAAACATTTAACTTTGAATGACTGTTGTGAAACCAATACGAAACCATGAAACTTCTCTCCAAAAAATATTTCATTTTTGTAATAAGAAAGTGATTGACACATCCCAAATCCTGTATCCACAGGGAGCTGTTATCTTTTACTCGTGTAACGCGACAGCTCATTATGATAAGCGTATCGACACAACATATTTTTAATAATAAATAAGTTTAAAAAATTACTTTACTAAAATATTCATTTTATTACCCGTTTCGATGAACTGACTCTACAGCCATAAAACCAATAATTATATAAAAATAATCAAGAATATAAGTGAAAATATATCAATTTAACATCAAGCAAACATTGACAGTAACTTTAATATACGAAATGCTTAAGTAAGTGTAATTTTATTATAAATATCAGTTGTCATATCGTAAAAACAGAAAATTTATAACAAAAATTTTACTGTCAAATCTTGTTAAACCATTCATCGTTTTTATATATGTATGTGGCAATTATTTTATATATTCGTTTTAAGTTTTATCACTTACACACATTTACACAAGCTAACATAATATGACCTATTAATACGCAAGGACTTATTAACTGTACCTAAAATAAGAAATGATGTCCTTATTTATGCAAGCGTTATCAACTACTATTACTTATCTATTTAACATCATGAAATTCACCTTTCTGACAAAGTGCGCCTTGCCAGCATGCCGACAGTAGCAGGTTGTCTGCCGGCCGGTAGCGATACATTGCGGGAAACGCGCGGCGCTTGCGTAGCCATTTTGATTTATTACTTATCACACTTACACTTTCACCTTCTTACACTTTATTTCACTTTACACTTCTGTTCATTTTCTTAAAATGACTTTGAAAAAATGTGAAATTTAAATTGATGAATGTTCTATAAATTTTAAAGCTAAATATTTAAAAAGGCCTGAGCTACTCCTACCACTTCTATAAGGTACGTAGGGACACTTTAATTAGGAAACTTAAAATATACTAATCGACTACACATATCCCAAATCCCCTTTCCTAAAATTCATGTCAAATTATAACTCCAAATCCTTCTGTACCCTAATTATTATATCAGAAAGTAATAAATCCTTAAAAGAGAAATTGCCACCACCCCCATAAAAAAATAAAATTCTGGGAAAATGTGAAAAATGTGTATTCTGATCAAAATTACAAATAAAAGGAAATACAAAATTAAAAATAAACAATGACAATCCTTAAAAATTAGTCTTAAAACCTAGTGTTGCCTCCTCTATCCCTCCACCAGCTTCCAAGCGGTCAGTCATGAACTATGAGCGTCACAATGTGTTCCTGGGGAATGTTGTCTCACTCCTCATGACGGCATCTCGAAGCTCATCAGAGTGGCAGGAGCTGATTACGGGCCCGAACTCGCGTTTCAGCTAGTCCCAGAGGTGCTCGATAGGATTGAGGTCAGGGCTTCTTCTGGCTAGTCCATAACCTTGATGCCAACTCACGTAGGTAGTCTTTGACAATCAAGGTGTGGCACCGGGCTAGTCGTGCATGAACTCGAAGTTGGCGCCACAAAACATGCAGTTGGGACCACATGCTCCTCCAAAACCTCGTATATACCGGTGGGCAGTCAGACCCCTGCCGACCATCTCCAGCTCTGGAGCCACCGAGTCTGTCTTCCGTCGATAGAAATACCGCCCTAAACATGCAGGATCCTCCTCCATACCCGACGGTTTCCACGGTGCAGGCTGGTGTGAAACGCTCCCCTGCCGCCTGTAGACTCTCTTCGCATGTTGTTGGTGTACAGGCACACTCGGGTTTCGTCGGAGAACAGGACATTCCTCCACTGGTCGAATGTCCCGGCACGTGCTTTCGTAAAATCGCTTCTTTTCCTCCGGTGATGGCAGTCAATAGGGGGCTTAGCAGCTCTCCGGGGCAGCAAATTCTTCTCTCACAGCCTTCTTCTATAGTGGAGACGCTGTCAGCTGTCCTTCGAGTAGCTCAAGCCGCTGCTGCAGCTCCCACGTTTAAGAGGGTTCCGCATACGTCGACACATGGACTCACCTCTGACGGTAGTCAGCACGTCTCCCGATCCATGTCTCCTTTTGTAACCTCCAGTCTCTTGGAACCGTTGGTATACCCGTTGCACTCGAAATCGGCTGATTTTCAGTTGCCAGCAATTTTAACCTCCGTAGTCCGATTTAGTAGGCCCCATAGCTGCTTCTTTTCCATGGTATCCATTTTCACTGGGTTTTTCTTGTCGAAGCTCTTCAGATACCTCTTGACGTCTGGATAGCGAATAACCCATCATTGACTTTTACCCCCACGTTATATACGCGTCCAGGGTGGTACAATTAGTGAGCCTCCAAACCTCTCCCACTTTTTAATCAAAGTGCTGATGATTTGTGGTTTTTGATTTTCCGTAAACAAATGATAATATTTTTTTGAAAGCTTATTAATTGAGCTTTTAAATGATACTAATAATGATAGGGTACAGGAAGGATCTTAGAAGTTATAATCGCTTGACACGAATTTAAAGGAAGGTGCGATTTTTTTGACGCCAAGTGTATAATGATATCATATTTTAAAATGTTTGTTGTTCTTATAATTTTCTTATCAAACAGATATCTGAGGATAATACCCATACTCGGTTCGGCATCTGGATAATTTTAATTATCTAAAACACTGGCTTTACAAATAACGTATAAGGCTTATAGAGGAAATCATATTTCATGAAAATAAACAAATTTTGATAGCCAAAGTATCGTTGGCTGAGTACATTTTTATGTAAAAAAATATTTACGTTAGTCTTCAGCACCCTATAAAGTTCTACAAATAGAATTAGATTTATAGCTGGAAAATTTTTAGCCATCTTTCTCAAGGTATTGACTTATATACCATAATATCTCAAGATCAGGCTGTATATATCACAGTGATAGTTACATTAGGGATCTCTACATTTAAAGCACAATTATTTTAAAAAGATTCCTTTTTAGAATACTTTAATTTTCCATAATAACATCTTGTCTTAACTACAATGAATAATGTAAAAAAATTGATTTGAATTCCTTCGGTTTTTTTTGTTTGAAGTCAGTTAATAAAAAAGAGTTTTAAGTATACGGGCTCTACATTCTTAACATATTTTTCTACTGTCAACAACTACTGAGATAAACAATAAACTAAATATTTAATAATTTAAATGTTATTAAGCAATAACATCCGAACATCGGAATAATAAAGGTAACAAACAAATTTTATGAGTAACAAAGTTCATACAACCAGAGAGGCCAGCATTCAGAATGTGCGGATTTATTATCGGATATAAATCTATTTAAACTGCCAGCGGAGTATGTTCATATTACGGAGGATGTTATATGTTTTAGTATTAGCATTAAGTGCTACTGAATAGTATATACGATAAACTTAAAATACTTTGAAGCTAGTTTTTATATTTAAATGAAGGGGGCTAACGGGCAGGAGGCTCACCTGGTGTTAAGTGGTACCCTCAATGCTGGAGGGTTCGCGAGTGCGTTGCCGGGCTTTAGAAATTGTTACGCTTTTTTCTGAGTTTCATCATCGGACGTCGAGACAGAATACGAAATTCCACCCGTATCACCTCGTGTTATCTGCCCGTTTGCCCAATGATAAAAAAAAAAATATCAGGTGAAGAGGGACCCTAAGTCGAATTGATTCGGATATACTTCAGGAGTAGCTGGTTTCACATAGTTAATGTATTTCAAATATTAAACACAATGCTAATTGGCCTCGTGCTTACGCATACTTCACCTACTCCAGCCTAATGTGTGCTTAAGTGCTTTAGGCAGCACTGCTTGCCTAAGAAAACCTATCAATAAAACAGACACAGAAATGTCTTCACAGATTTCATAGATAACTAATACATACTTCTACCGCTCTACAAATACCAAATAGAAAACGGGAAGCAAACTCATAAACAAATTAATCTTCATGGGGACACATTACTATGTTTTATTTGTCCCATATAAAGCTTATTAACAAGTTATAGCCATAACTGTATGGTGATTTCGCATCCGTGAAGCTGTTAGCGCTTTATATATGTTTATAAGGAAATTAAGTTTTTATACTGGCGTATTAATAACGTAATGCCGTAACAAATTCTTTCTTTCGGTTTCTCAGAATACATTTAAGGACTCGTGACGATCACAAGCGGTAATAAAACATTTCTTTAAATATTATCAATCGCCACTGCATCTCAGAAGTTAGAACACAAAGAATTATGAACTTGACGTTTAATTTTAAGAAGCCTTTTTATTTTGTAATTTCCAACCAACCTCCATCCCAAATTATATAGGGTGTCACGCCCATTTATGTTTTACGATTTTTTGTAGTTTAGGAGTTATAATTGTTTTTTCTGTTTCTGTTGAAATTCTACTTTTTAAGTAATTTTGGATGAACCTTGAAAATAATGAAGATACACAACTGTTTTTTTTATTACTTCGCATAAACACTAGCCTATTTGACATAAAAACATAAAAACCTACATGTGCAAATATTTAAAAAAAAAAATATTTTTATAACTCATCTCTCTATCGCTCTATAGCTCTATCTCTAGACCACCGCTTGACACTGTTTTTTGGCACACACTGTATTAATTCCTAATATTTCAATCAAAAATTATAACAAAAACATATATTTTTAAGCCGCTGTTAATTCTTTTTTAAATAATTGACCTACTACTACGAAATTATATCAAAATATTATTAATATTAATTTAGGCCAAGATCCAAGTGCATCGTAGGTGAATAGTGATAGTAATATCCGTTATAAAATGTTATTTATCGTAAAATAAGCTAATAATATGTGTCAGCCTTTATCTATTAGTGGATAAATTGTAACACTATTAATATCCTATATCCCCATCAAAGAACGTGCCAACTGTAAAAATTTAACCTTCGCCTTTGAGGTTTAGTCGTTAAATTTTAGTTAAGCTATATATTATATTCGATAGAAGTACTTACTAATACATGTTAAAACTTCTGTCAAATTTTAAATTTTAATAATAGAATCCAATTAAGTATAGAAATTTGATTACAGATTTCATTTTATGTTAATTATTTATTGAAGTTTCCTCAAAACAAATAAATATTTTAAAGAAAAAACTTTTTAGCCGGATTAATGTTATGTATTATTATAAAGTTACAATTATTTAACATAATTTAAATTTAACCGACCTTTCGCGTGCTTTACAGCGTGCGTGGTCACGGTGACTAATTATTATAATAATACATAACTTTAATCCGGTTAAAAAGTTTTTTCTTTAAATGTGTAAAGGTTATGTCAATAAAAGACAATACCAAATAAATATTGACAAAACAAGGACTAGGCTCACAAAACGGAATAGCACCCAAAGACAACTTAAACGTTGTTCTACGTTTGTAATCCGGCACCCGCATAAGGGCTAACATTTATGTTATAAATAAGATTTCTAGTTGATACAAGAGTATGTGGGTGACGATTACTCGTATCTAACTCAATATAAACGACTCCAAAAATATATTAGCTACATAAAAACTAAAGAACTATTGATTATATATCATCCAAAATTTAGGATAAAAAAAGAATTAGTTGATAAGCTGTATATAATTTAGTTTTTAATACTTTTTCCTATTAATAATATCCAAATAGGAATGTTTCAACCGCACACGAAATGCTAGATTAATAATGTTTTGGATATTATTCATTTAACACTACATTAATTTAACAAAAATTTTAAGTTAATTCTTTTAAGTATCTGAGAGTATCAAATCTTATTATATTTAC